TTTGCCCCCTTTAACTGTAGCATATTTGTCCCTCAAATTATTATTCTTAATTTGATTGTCATACTACAGCTTTTCCCCGTGGGAATCAGAAGTGCCTTTTTTAAAGCACATATATTTAAATATGTCACTCAAGGCATATTTAGAATATGTCATATGGCATTCAAGTTTATCTTACATTGTGATGACATTCCCAAGTTATCTGAAGGTACTGATGGAATTTGAGGCTGGGAAGCCTTCATTGATCAAAATGAAACCTTCTTCTTGGATCAAAATTATTCATTCCAATATATACAAATCTGTGCCTAAATTGGAAAATCTCTGGTAAATTTTTTCTCACAAATGCTATAGGCATAGTCACAAAGAAGTTTACAAATAAGTTTTACTTATGGCCTTGAGATATAGTGACCAGTCTCACAATTCTCCATATATGATGTAATTCAAATGAAGTATTACTAAAATAAGTCATAAGGTCAAATACAATAGCAAATTTTATTTAGTGCACTATTGTATTTATTTAATGCAGATTTTAATAACATAAAAACACACCTTTTGCAGTGCCTATGCTTTAATATTTTATCTTGAATAGTGCAGTAGAATCTAAAAAGGACTAAAACATTTAGTATGTGCAACAGCATGGCAAATAGACTCAAAGATAGGCCCCAATGATCCCTGCCTCTTGGTATTCATACTTTATACATTCTTTTCCCTTGTCTTTGGGTGGGACCTACAACTCATTCTTAATCAATAGGATGTGGCAAAGGTATGGGATGTCACTTCCATGATGATGTTATATAAAATTGTAACTCCATAGTGAGTTTTTATTTTGGAAATGCCAATGAGACAAAGAACTGAGGGTGGCCTGAGGCCAACAGACAGCTAGAAACTGTAGCTCTCATTCCAACAGCCCAAGGAGAAATCAATTCTGCCTACAACCATGAGAACTTGGGATTGGATCCTGCCCCAGTTGAGTCTTCAGAGGATACCTCAACCCAGGCTGATACCTTGACTACAGCTTTATGAGACACTTTAAAAACTGGCCCAATCTAAGCAATGCCTGGCTTTTTTTTTTTCTTTTTAAAAAGATGAGATCTTGTTTTATTGCCTAGGCTGGAGTGCGGTGGCTATTCAAAGGCACAATTATAGTGAGCTACAGCCCTAAACTCCTGAGCTCATGTGATCCTCCTGCATCAGGTCCTGAGTAGTTTGGACTGACAGGCATGTGACACTGTGCCCAGCTTCCTGTCTGGACTTTGATCTATAAGTGTAAATAATTTAAAGTTGCTAAATTTGTAGCAGTGTATTATATAGCAATCAACAACCAATACAAACAGAAAACTCACATTTATGCTGATTCTAAACTGTATTTATATCATTTCAGTAGATGAAGGATTAATTGAGACTTATTGCAAGATTTCATAGAAGAGTAATTCTTACCAAACAGAAATCAAGGTCAGTACTCTGTCAGGTCTGGTGTGTTTCGTATATTTTCCTGCTTACCAAGCTATTTACGACTACCATAAGAAATAAACGTTCAATATGATATAAGGTAAATTCTTAATATTGATTAGAAATGGGCAAAGTAACTTGATGGATACAATTAATTCTATATCAAAGAAAGCAAAGATTCTAATCATACTATTATTTCATTTGCACAAATTAACTATATGACTACAATTATTCTATTATTTCATCCATATTTCCAACAATTGGCTTAAACAATACAGTACATCATGAGTTCAGCATATTGTTGCAATTTGAAAACTGTGTCCAGGTATATGAATAACTACTATGACTAAGCATTCACTATGAGAAAATTCTCAAATGTTGAGCTTACTCTGATTTTCAGAAAGATGTACCAAGTTTAGATGTTAGTTTAATTTCCCTTTTCAATCCCCAATTGTAATATTTCTTCAAAATGAAAATCAATGCAACCATTTTATCTTTCAAAAATCTTTTTAAAATCTAGTTATTATAGTGAGAGCTAGAAATATTATCACTCCCATTGTTTATAATTGAGGGGTAAATTTTCAAGAATTTCTACTTCACTTAGAAATAGAAATTCTATTTTACTTGGAAATAGAAATCCCCAAAAACAAATTGTTTCCTTTCTCAAAAGACATCTGTTTACCAACTGTTTTGAACTTGATTTAAAAAAAAAATAGGAAAAAAGAGCAAAAAAATACTTTGCTGATTGGAACAAATAGCATGTTGAAATGTAGCTAAAAGGGGGAAAACAGTATTTTTGCCAAAAAATAAAAGCCAAAAGTGAAGTACACAAGTGAAATCATTTTAATGAGGAATAAATATGCATGGGATATCACAGAAATGTAAAGTTGAAAATTCAATCCACTATATAATGAATTAACAGTACCTACTGCTGGAACTGTCCTGTTACTTTGTGTGAAAAAGCTAATGAGCAGGGGAGAAGTTTCCAAAAACAGGATAGTCAGCACATTCCAGGAACCTACTTGCTTTTTAAAAGGAATTATAAATAGCACATGGCTATTTCTTGAAAATGGACATAATTTTCTTTTATTTCTATGTTTAGAGGTAGTTATTAGATTTTTTCTGTCTAGGGAGATAATAGTAACAAGGAAAAATTAAAGCTACACATTTGATGCATCATATCTGCACATATTTTTTACTTTTTAAAATGGCATTGCTTTGAATATAAAGTTTACAATAAATTTCTCTTAGCGTGCTTCTTTGTCCCTCCAAGAGAATAACACTTCTAAGAACCACCTCACTCATATATGTGGGACTCACACACTCAATTGGCAAGGGCCAGCTTGGTGACTTAAAAGACTGACGTTCATTATCTGACACACAGGGAGTGAATACCCCATCTAAAGGGGAACACTTCTTGACTTTAGTCATTTGCAGAGATGAGGAAATACCATCTCAATATATTTTGAGAATAACATTTTCAAAGTGATGTTCAAGTGTTTTCACAGCACCTTCTGATTTTTAAACCTAAGTCAAACAATTTAAAATATTGCAAAGGCTTAATAGACTATGTCTAGTTGCATAAGGCAATTTACACAGCAGTACTTACCCAGTGGCCCATCCTAGGCTTACTCCGTGGATCAAGCTGAGGGACTCCTATGTGAGCTTCATGACTCAAACTGCACCAAGAGCATTCCCTGTTGGAGATTTAAAATCTGATAAAAGATAATCATATAATCACTTTGTTGGGTACAAATCATCCTATAAGGCAGTGACAAAAATAGTAAGAAAGGTCCAGAAACTCTAGGAAGTACATTGATTTCTAACCATCCTTTAATTTTTAGGTGACTTCTCTAGTTCTTCTGATAAATACCTTTTGACTATGTTTTTCCTCAGTTAACCAAAATAGAGTTTTGTTTCATGAATACAAAATCAAAACAAAAACAATCTAACAACCACAACAAGAAAACCTTAATTGAGATTCAGTCTTTTTCTTTCTATTCAATCCCTTTCTTTTTTAAAAAAAATTTATTTATTATACTTTAAGTTCTGGTGTATGTGTAAAGAACGTGCAGGTTTGTAACATAAGTATACAGGTGCCATGGTGATTTGCTGCATCCATCACCCCATCATCAATGATAGACTAGATAGAGAAAATGTGGTACATATACACCAGGAATACTATGCAGCCATAAAAAAGGATGAGTTCCCATCCTTTGCAGGGACATGGATGAAGTTGGAAATCATTATTCTCAGCAAACTGACACTAGAACAGAAAACCAAACACGGCATGTTCTGATTCATCCAATCCCTTTCTATACATAGTTTCAATCAGGAGAAAGGCCAGGCTCCTAAGGGTATGTAAATGGAGGGGCAGTAAAAAGGGTAAAATGTTTTTGCTTGTTAATGAAATTGTGGTGATGAGAGGGCGATTGCCATTGTTATTTAGCATATCAGGGGGTGGAGTCTGGAGAAGTTCCAGGTCTAGTAAACATATTGCTTTGAGAGGCACAAATGTATACATAAGGAATGATGCCATTTAAACACTGAAAGAAATACTGCTTGTTTCTCAAAGATCTCAAGAGGAGCAGCATGATATACCCAAATCAATAATCTGTTATTTCAAAATTCACGATGTCAACCTTGTAAGATTTACTGCTGAGGTAAAATGAGGAAACTGATGCAAGTACAAGAAAGTGAGAAGCTAATTTATTCAGCTCCTGGGCAAGGTTCTGTGGTTTAGGGTGGGGCCAGAGAAGTCATGCCTGGCTGTTTAGGGCATGGAGTTTTATGGGGAGGGCAGGCAATTGATTGGCTATTGGGGAAACAAAGAGAAGGCATTTCTATTGGCTGTTGAGGAGCAGGAAGTACATAGAGTTAGAGTAGGAAGTACATGAAACTAGCTGCCATTGGTAGGCTGGCAGGACCTTGGGTAAGTGGGCCTTGATTGTCTACTGGGAAAACAAAGAGAAGGCATTTCTATTGGTTGTTGAGGAGCAGGAAGTACATGGAGTTAAAGTAGGAAGTACATGAAACTAGCTGCCATTGGTAGGCGAGCGGGACCTTGGGTAAGTGGGCCTGCCAGGGGCGTATGGGGCAGGCTGTTGTTGGGCAGGGTATGGTGGGGCTTCTTTAAAAATTTTTTCTGCAGAGTTTTTTAACAGTAGGCTGAAGGTTGGATGCATAATTTAGTGCTGAGTGTGGGTTTGGGTATGGTTCGCAGAGGTGGGTGTGGGGGAAGCCATATGGCGAGGCCAGATAATGAGCTCGGGTGATGAGGCAGTTATCAGGCCAGAGAGTGATGAATGTGTCCGTTTGACTCCCGGCAAGGCAACCGACCTTACAAACTTGACATCTCCAGATGATTCTCGAACTGTTTTCCTTCTTACTCTTCCTTTTTTTCTTCTTCCTTCCATTTTCGTTTATTCATTTTTGTTTTCAGAAACTGTACCATTGCCCTCGAGTGTTTGTAATATACAAGAATATTAAATATACAAGAATATTAAATGAGTTGGAATTTTTCTAATAAAAAAGAAAGAAAACATAGTCTTGAGAATATTAAATCCAGGGGTTTTACTTTATTTCTCACGTATTTTTCTGCTAGCTTCTAGAGATGAAATGCTATATATCACTTATCTTTCTTATGTTGTCACTAGAGAGAACTTGAAAATGTCTTTACTTTGGACTACCATTTATTTTCGGATTGCCCACTAAAATAAAATGAAAAATTTTCAAATAGCTTCCACTCGTTGAGTGAGTACTTAACCTTTATTACCACTCCGAGAGCACAAGTTCACTAGAGAACCTATTTCATATTTACAATTGTAGGCATTACCATCTATGCGCTTTCCGATTTAGACCTTCTTGGAAGCCTTAACAAATGCAAAGGTTTTGCAGCGTATTTTGAGGATATTTAGTAGGTTGCACTGTATAAGAAATGCATTGATAAAGCTTAATAAAGCAAAAATTGTCTCTATTTTCCTTAGTTACATCTCACTCTCCATTTGTTCTTATTCAAATTTAGCTGCTTTCTTCAGATCTACCAACTTCCTCTGAGCTCATTTGTCACCTTTAGCAAGCCTGGTAAACACATTTATTGATCACCTGGCACAAGCCAGAAAACACCTATAACTGCAAAAGCTAATAGAAGCATAGTAATATGACACTTGAAAGGAATTGATGAGGAAATATTTTTCATGTGGTTTGGAGAGATGAATGTTTTAAACAAGCAAAGCCTGACATCATCAAATAGTTTATAATTCTGCTCTTCTTTGGGTTTCTTTGGGTTTTTATCATTGTGTTATAAAAACTTGTTTAAATAACTGCAGCTTTACCAGAATGTGAACTGCCTGTGGCAGTCAGCATAGCTGAGCTTTGTATCTCAATATCTAAGCAAGTTGCCTGGCTCATAGGAGGTACTTAAGAATGACTATGAGTGAATAGATGGAAAGCCATTCTAAATTATTGCTTTCATCAAGGTTCTTTCTGATTCACTGATTTCTCAAGATTTTCTGCTGCATTTGGACCACTAGGTATGCTGACTCTGTCAGGAAATTATATCTTTCACTATAAGGAAATACTTGGCCAGGCAGGGTTGGTCATGACATGGAATTCCAGCACTTTGGGAGACAGAGGCAGGTGGACCACTTGCATCCAGGAGGTCGAGATCAGCCTGGGCAACAAAACAAGGTAAATGATTAAGGGAGTCACTATTGAAGATTATTCTCAAGGCACTCAAGACGTCTCATTCATTTTCCTAACAAAATTAAGAGCAAGAACTGGACTTTGGTCAACGTATGGAGGAAAATTCATTTATTACAAGCAGAATGATTTGCTGTTGGACTGCAGAATGATTTGCTGTTGTAAAACTCCAAAAAAAATTGAAAAAGTAAAAGTAGAAATCTACATTGTATTAGTCTGTTCTCACACTGCTGTAAGTACTACCTGAAACTAGGTAATTTATAAAGAAAAGAGGTTTAATCAACTCACAGTTCCATAGACTGTACAGGAAGCATGGCTGGATAGCCTCAGGAAATTTACAATCATGGCAGAAGGTGAAGGGGAAGCAGGCACGTCGTGACAGGGTAGCGGGAGAATGCAAACTGGGAAGTGCTACAGACTTTTTAACAACCCGATTGCATGAAAACTGACTCACTATTAGCAGTAAGGGGGAAATTTGCCCCCATGAACCAATCGCCTCCCACCAGGTCCCTCCCCCAATACTGAGGTTACAATTCACCATGAGATTTGGGTGAAGACAAAGAGCCAAACCATATGATGTGTCAGGCCCAGAATTGTGTGAAAACAATTTAAGTAAGAGTCTTACACTTCTAACCACAATCACAAATATGATGTTCCCACTTAGGCTGTGAGTTATTGTCTGTTACTAAATGATATCTCAAGTGGAGGACATTACTTGGTAATGGAAAGCAGCAGGTACTTTGGTGACAAATAAAACTGGACCACTTCTTGACTTTGTCACCTATAACCTACAGAAAATCTTAATTGTGCAAATATCAGTTTATTTAATTTTAGATAGGCTAATGATTAGACTATCTAAAGTGATTATTACTACAGAGGATTGAAAAGTGCTTTGCCTAGTACTTGACACACAATAGGTGCCCAAACACATTAATCTTTCCTTCCCATTGGAATCAGTACTACTCCTCCCTACCCAATTTCCATGTATTTTTTAATTCAGCTAACATTTGTTGAGAACCACTCTGATAAATATTAAGAAAAATATAAAAGTGAAATAGATAATAGGTCTAGCCTTCTGGAACCTTAGCTATTTCAGGTGAGAACAAATCACATCATATGTAATCAGAGAAAGGGCAAGTCACAATGAATAAAATGTTCCCATTTAAATAAAGTAATGCGACAGTACAGTGGAGGGTGAGAGTAATCTGAGCTAGATGAATCTCCAAAAGTTTCTTTGAGGAAGTGCAGGATTTTGCTTACAGGTTTGCATTCTGTATTCAACCTACCCTAAGCAGTGCAATCACTAGGAAAATCTCCTTTTTTCTTTATTGTTTCATGTTTGGTAGACCTAACTAACAAATTAAAAAGCATCTTGAAGTTACTGGCTTTCATCACACTGCGAAGTTTCGTACGTTTATACCATGCAGTAAAAAGTGGGAAAAAAAAAAAACTAAATTGGTTTAGAATGCAAAACCCAGAGGTACGTAATCTTGATCATTTGCAGCATATTTTCTGCCTATAAAATGTAGTTATCTCACTATTTCCAATCATTGGTATGATGATTTAACAAGGTGGTATCTATAGAAGAGAGCCTTATCTATCAAGTGCTGTAAAAACTGAGATTATTTTTATTATAGTTGGAGTTCAACTAGTAACTGTTAATTGATTAAAACTTATAGCAGTTTTATGAGTTAGAAAATAATTTTCCATTGTCTAAGTGAATCACTGAGATGTTTCATTAAAGGCACCTAAATAAATTTTTAGCTTCCTATGTAAAATCAGTCAACCATACAGGTTATATACCCGACAAATCCTAGAGTATATTGGAAATATTAATATTTTTTATTATCTTTGATAATGTCTCAACTTCTGCTATAGTAAAATTATGCCAAGTTTTGGTAAAATAGATTTACAAGTAAATGTTTAACTCCATAGGGGAAACTACATTGAGAAATCTGAGAACACAGTTTTTTATACACCAACGTAAACTGTGGGGGAAAAAAAAACTGTTTCAGACTTTAGGGCAATTGTTTTGCAAATAAACAGAATTACAGTTTTTCCCATTATTGCCATTAAGAAGTATCCTACCTTCTAATTTCTTCATTTGAAAATGTTAGAATATATATGCACTAAAAATAATCTAGTTGATCAACTGAGTTTTTGGTGATTTGAAGAAATATTAATACACATAATATTTACCTGAAAGCCACAGCAGATTAATTTAGAATCCAGGTCTACCGTTACTGGATTGGATTAGCTTGGGTAATCATATGTTTACTCTGGCCTCAGCTGCTTTATCTTAAAATGGAAGGTTACTATTATTGGTTTTGTAGGAAATTTTCAAGAATTGACTAGATTCTATATTAAAAGTGCAGTTTCTTTATTTAAAAACATATTTTAAGAGCCAGGGTTTTGCTCTGCCATCTAGGCTGGAGTGCAGTGGTATAATCACACCTCACTGCAAACTCAAACGTATTGCTCAAGTTAAGTTCCAACCTCAGCCTCCTGAGTAGCTAAGACCTCAGGCATGTCCCACCATGCCTGGCTAATTCTATTTATATATGTATTTATGTATGCATTTACTTGCTTGTTTGTTCATTATTGTAGAGATAGGATCTAGCTAAGTTGCCCAGGCTGGTCTTGAACTCCTGGCCTCAAGCAATCCTCCTGCCTTGGCCTCTCAAAATGTGGGATTATAGGCATGAGCCACCACACAGAGCCTCTAAAAGTGTATTTGAAATGTTTGCTGACAGCCATTATTTACAGTTTAGACACAAGTTTTCAAACTTCTTAATAATTTGCATTTACATTAAATTTCCTATTAATATTGGCCGTGAAGAACCATATTAGACCTGTATTTCAATTTGCCAATTGCAAAATGCTTCTTCACTGAAACAAGACCTGCCACAAAAGTCACACTTAAAAGACAATAAAATTAAGTTTCAAAGCATATTTTTGACTCCCCACAGTGTGCCAGATATGAAACTCTGCTAACTCATAGCTATTTCTTAAAAACAATTTGTGTTTTTGCACTATTTCCGATAGCCTTCGACAGTTGTGTTCAAGCTTTAAAATATCTGAGGAAGTATCAAAGGTCTATATAAATGAATGGCTGAAGGAGAGAGGGGTAAGAGGACTTCAAGGTAAGAATCCAGAGACCCTGGTGTTGTCTCAGTCCCATCCTCAGTTCTCACTCAATAAACTGTGAGCTTCTGCCTGAGCCACCGACTCTCTCCTAAATTTCTTTCCACTCCAAAAGTGAGCTGGGGGAACTAGATAATCTCTAAGTTATTTTTTTCATTAATTGAAAAAGAGTGATTATCAAAAGGTGAGCCTTGACACATAAAATGTAATTCAGTAGCAACAAGCCCCAAACACTATGTAAAAATAGTTAATTTTGTGCTTCTAAGACTATATAAATAATAAAACTTTCAATATCAGTAATATTAATTAGCAAATGGGATCCTTATTTGCATTTGAATTTAAAATCAGTCTTATTTATTTTTGGAATAACTGAAGCTGGACTTGAACTAAAGGATTGGAATTCAGTTAACCTCCGTTTAGACAAATACTTCACATCTTTCAAGACACAGTACTGCCTCACTTCCATAAATCCAACGGCTCCCTGCATAAAATTCCAGTATGCTTACTGTATTTATCATTTAAAGAGACATAGCATACTATCTTGTATTTGTCTCTAATTTCATTCTTTAAAAACTTCGATGATAGTAGAAACCATGAGAGAGTGAGAAAATAGAAGTTTAAATTATGTACATTGCTCATAAGCAAAGAAATATGAGATCATTTATTTAGTGGAGAGTGACAACATGCTAACTCTAGTAAGAACAGTTTAAAAATGTAAATGTATGCAACTGCATATGTGATTTCTTTCTTTCATGTCATTAAATACAGGATGTAGAAAATTACACGGTACAAATGCTAGAGAAAAATCATGTTACACAATCTGTGCCCCTCAGGAGTTTTTTCCCACACAATATAAATTTTGTCTTTTGCATATCTAAGTGCAATAATTTCTGTTAAAAGAGCTTATTTCATCTATTGTTTCTGGCCCTATTTAAACAATGCAAATAAAAAATTACATTAAAAAATATATATTTTTAAATTTTACTTTAATTATATTTTAAGTTCTAGGACACGTGTGCAGAATATGAAGGTTTGTAACATAGGAAACATATGCCATAATGGTTTGCAGCACCCACCAACCCATCACCTAGGTATTAAGCCCAGCATCCCTTAGCTATTCTTCTAGATGCTCTCCCTCCCCCACCACTACTACCAACAGGCCTTAGTGTGTTATTTAAAAATAAAATATTTTTAAAAAACAAGAAACTACTAACAAAAGCAAAAATCACATCTTACACCTTAGCGGAATATAAAAGACACAGAAGTTGTAAGGCGAATTTCCTATTGCTTAATGTTATATTAATCTCTGTAATTACAAAATATTTTGTAACAAAAACATTGACTTCAAGCTATTGTAATATCTTTAAGGATTTTTAAATAGTCAGATTATTAAATTATTTTCCAGTTTTTTTTTTATAAAGTGCCTGTGAATTAAGGACTGTATTTGTCAAAGTCCTACTGTGCACTCAGAAATTGTACTCCTATCTCATTGCCTGCAGATAGTTATCATTCAGGTCAACACAATTTGCACCAGCCTCCCATCCTACCTCACTTTTACTCCTCTCTAGTCTGTACAGTGAGCTGTACAGAATCCCAAATTGTTCATTCAAATTTCCTGCTAACCATACTTTATGGCTTCCTAATACCATCAAGATAAAATCAAACATTCTCAGCATATCATGCAAAGCCCTGTATGATCTCTCCTTGACCATTTATTTCAATTTCATCACATTCACACTCTAAGCTCTAGCTGTAGTAGCGAGATATTATTTCCTTAACCCTAGTTCCTTTTTACCCATTGCCCTCTATACATAAACTTCATATTAAGAAACTACCTATGATTTTCTTTTTTATTGTATTCTTTAATCCCCAAAGACTGTTGCACTTTGTTATATGCCTTTTCTGCACCAATGAAGATGATGCTATAATTTTTCTCTTTAGTTCTATCAATGCAGTGAATTATGCTTTTAAATTTCCTAATATTGAAATCATCCTTGCGTCCCTGGAATTAATCCCACTTTGTCATGGTGGCTTCTGTTTTAAATGAGGTAAATAATTCTGCTTGCTACTATTTTCTTAAAATTTTTGCATTACTATTCATAATTAAGGTTGGGCTTTAGCTTTCCTGTACAGTGCAATCTTTGTTGAGGGTAAAGATTCCAGTTATTCTTGTTTCATAAATCATATTTGGACATTTTCCTTCCTAGTCTATACTGTGGGACAACTTATGTTGCTTTAGGATTATCTGAGCTTTGGAATACTTCCTGCATGAATTTATCTAGGCCAGGGATTTTTATGGCAGAGCACAGTAATCACTGCCTTTCTGTGCATTAACTTATTTTGTTATTTCTAATATGAAACTAATATTTTACCTTCTGGGGTTTAGATTTTTTCAATTTCCCTTAATTTGGTTAACTGTTATCTTGCCTGTTTTATTGATTTTCTTCAAACAACTTACTTATTGACCAATTACATCTTTTGTTTTCCAACTCGTTAAATTGTTTAATTTTTATTAATTTTCTTCATCTGCTTTCTTTTCTTACTCTAGTAATCATTTCTTTTAGAATTTTAAGTTTAAATGTGTTAGTAATTTTTTTTTTTTTTTTTTGAGACAGAGTTTCGCTCTTGTTACCCAGGCTGAAGTGCAATGGCGCGATCTCGACTCATGGCAACCTCCGCCTCCTGGGTTCAGGCAATTCTGCCTCAGCCTCCTGAGTAGCTGGGATTACGGGCACGTGCCACCATGCCCAACTAATTTTTTGTATTTTTAGTAGAGACAGGGTTTCACCATGTTGAACAGGATGGTCTCGATCTCTTGAACTCGTGATCCACCCACCTCGGCCTCCCAAAGTACTGGGATTACAGGTGTGAGCCACCGCGCCCGGCCCATGTGTTAGTAATTTTTATGCTTACAATTTTTATTAATATAACTGTCATTTCCTGGAAAAGTGCTTTTACTGAATTTGGAGATGTTTTCATTTCACTGCTTATTTTAACGCAACACATTTTTAAATTTTGTTTCCTCTTTAAACAAAATTATTGTATATTATATTTTAAAGAATTTATTCTGCATTTGTACAATTAACTAAGCTTTAATATAAATGTTAATTATATAAATGTTCCATGTGAAATGTTTAAAAGTATATTTATATTATTGGAGTTCAAAGTATGTGTGTCTATACATATATATAAAATACTTATATATTTTTATTTTTATTTTCCTACTTGCAATGCCACCACCATGGTTCATGACTCATCTCACATCAGTCATCATCTGCATTATTGTCATTTTCTTTTAAAAGTTTTTCCTACTTCTCTCCTTATTCCTAATTGTATTTTCTTAATGTATCAGCTGAAATCAGCCGTTTAAGATATCAATCAATTATGACAGTTTATTTCACCATAAATGCCTGATCGATTTCCAGGGCACTCTTCGACCTCTCTCGTAGTAGCCTCCCTCTTGCTCAAGGTACCCCCACCACAATAGTAATCTTGCTATTCATGAAAAACTAGTATCATGTTCCTAACTTAGGACATTGATCTAGCTTTTTTTTTTTGCCTGAATTATTTTGGAAGCCACATGGTTAAACCTCTCACCTCTTTTAAATACTTATTCAAAATGTTAGTTTCTCAATGAGGCTTATCCAAATTACTGCGTTTAAATAGTGCAACATTCCATTTTCCACCACTCACTGGGCTCACGTTCTATTTACATTGCTTCAGTTTTCCTTTTTTCAGTATCATTTTCCATTAACATGCTAGATTATTTGTATATTTATTATGACTATTATTCATTGTTGCTTTTAAAATCGTTGTAAAATTTTTCTATTATGAAAATTTCTATATTTATTACAATTACTATTCATTGTTGCTTTTACAAACATTGTATTTTACGTGGTTTGTTGTTTCACTCCAAGCTGCTAATATTCAAGCTCCACAAAAGTAGTATGTTTGCTTTGTTCACTGATGTATCACAAGCACCCAGGACAGTGCTGATCACATAAATGACACTTAGAAATACTGTTGAATAAGCAAAATAAAACAAATTTTATATTCAGGTGCAAGCAACCCTTGACAACACTGTAGGTTACATTCCAGACCACCACAATAAACCAATATTGCAAAAGCGTGAGTCACACAAATTTTTTTGTTTCTCGGTGCATATAAAAATTATGTTTATAATATTCTGTAGTCTATTAAGTGTGTAATAGCATTATATATAAAAATGCAATGTACATACTTTAGTTAAATATACTTTATTACTTTAAAACGCTAAAGATAATTCAGTCCTTCCACAAGTCATAATTATTTTGCTGTTGAAGGACCCTGCCTTAATGGTGATGGCTGCTGGATGAGGGTGGTGGTTACTGAAGGTTGGGGTGACTGTGGAAATTTCCTCATATAAGACAATAATAGAGTTTGCCACATTGACTGACTCTCCCTTTCATGAAAGATTTCTTTGTAGTATTTGATGCTGTTTGATAACATTTAACCTTCATTACAACTTCTTTCAAAATTAGAGTTAATCCTCTCAAACCCTGCCAATGATTTGTCAACAAAGCTGGTGGAATATTCTAAATCCGTTACTGTCATTTCAACAAGGTTTGTAGCATCTTCACCAACAGATTTCATCGTAAGAAACCACTTTCTTTATTCATTCATAGGCAGCAACTTCTTATCCATTCAAGTTTGATAGTGAGATTACAGCAATTCAGTCACATCTTCAGGCTCCATTTCTGATTAATTCTCTAGCTATTTCTACCACATCTGCAGCTATTTTCTCCAATGAAGCGTTGAACACCTCAAAGTCATTCACGAGGGTAGGAATCAGCGTCTTCCTAATTCCCAGATACTTTGACCTCCTCCTATGAATCATGAATGCTCTTTATAGCATTTAGAATGGTAAATTCATTCCAGAATGAATTTACTTCATTTTACTTTACCCAGATTCATAAAAGGAATTACTATCTGTGGTACCTATAGCCTTTCCAAATGTATT